TACCAGTAGGAATTCAAAGAACACTTCCATTGAGTCTGTCACCACCCCTGGAGAGGAGCACAGGGATGGGTGAAATGAGTAATGATTACCTGGTGCAAAAGACTGGGATGAGGGAGGAGTTGATCATTTACTTGACTATAGATTATTTCTATTCAAAAAAGTAGACGGCAGTGTGCTAGCATTTTATTCCTGCTTAGAGAGCATCATTATCATTATAGGCCCGAAGAGCGAGCCGGGAGGCGGGCAGTAGGAACGGTTTTGTGTAAACGATCCGCCGCACGCGGCTGTCGCGGGCTATTTGCCTCGTTGTAACAGTTTTAGCGTTCTTCATACAGCTCAATTGCTATGCGATTATTACTTATGGCATGATTCTACTGTTACTTCTTTTGTTCCTGAATTTCTTACTTGCGGCTGCATTCTGCTACATTCCTTCGCGCGCGGCGTCTCTTCGTCGCTACGCGACACTTTCGTTCCTACTGTACCACACCCGAGCGAGCCACACTTCCATCTTTACGCTCTATCGCCTAGTGTTGAGGAGGAACGGTGCCCCTCTCCCTCCACCTCCATTTACATTTTCACCCTATTTTTTGGCACTCAGTTTTATTTTATTGTAATCCTGAAGTGTTTTTCATCAATTTATAGCATTACCCTCCTTTTATTACTCTTTATATTCTGATTTTTACTTCATTTATTTGATGAATAAACTTTTCTTATTTATTCATTTTTGCTTTACTGATTTACTATTTTTTCTTTATTTTATTCCACTTTATCTTTTCCATCATTCACTTCAGATTTTTGGCAAATTAGGCTAGAGCATATGTTGGGATTGAAGCGGTCGTGATGTGGACTCTTCTGACTTCCCGTCTACGGTCATCAACGGTACGCTACTGTCGTCCTTGTTGGTGCCAGCCTTGTACCTTCTGGGAATTCTTGAAAGACTTCTTTTCTACAGTTATTTCCCAACTTAGAACTCCCAATGATAGTAAGAGGGACGCTGTCGGGTCGAAAAACGGCTTAGATAGGGCGTAGTAAAAACATGCAAACCAGCTTAGCCAACGTACACACCCAAGCGCGGACGACTTCTAACGGTGATGTAGAGGGTGTAGGGGACGCACCATTCGCACAGAGACGCACATGTTGCACGCAAGCAGCTTACTGTAGCCAGCTGTAGACAATGGCACCCACATTATGACAGCACGTCCGAATACCTCTTCCGTGCAGCCTTTGTCGTCACAACCTCGTCTTCCTCTGATTCTTGGTACTTTTTGAAGCTTTACACTTCGCTGAGTACGCCGATTTTCGCGTTCTCTTCACCGCAATTGCACTATTCTAGATTGTCACTTCCATTATTCGTCTTACATTAGATACACCGATGTTATCGTGAACTGTGCCTTTGAGTTCTTTATTTTTTCATGCAAAATCCCAACCTTTAGCTTCTTTTCTTTGATGTGTTCTGTTTTTTATTTACCTGAAGGCTTACGCGGCAATATATATATTTCAGTATACAAGGACATGATCGGAACATTTGAAGCCTTTTTTCTCAAAGTATTCGTTGTGTAAAAGTATAAGTAAAGTATCGTGTAGTGCTTTTCTTCATCACGCAACCCTTCCCACAATACTCGTTTCACATCGATCGCCTGGCGTCACTAAACCGCATAAGCTTGTCATTTGTAGGAATTCCATTGTTCTCATCAGCTTCTCAGGAAGTGAATCATACCGATGAAGAAGAATGTTCCCGACCAATATCGAGGGTTTCCAATTTCAAGACCACCGTTTTTCCCTCTCTTGGTGTGGAATAGAAAATGGAAAGGGTTTACGATCATTTCTAGGATGACTGGTCCCAAAACACCTCAAGTTCAAGCGTGATATAGGAGGAGCCTTGGGTGACAACACAATGAAATGTCTCCAGTCTCTGTCTCTCTCTCCATGGCTTCCTCCAGAAACACGACTGGCACTGGGCACGGCTCCAAATCCTTACCGTATTTCTGCCTCATATTTCTACTAGGGGGGACGTGCGATTCGTGCGATTCCGGGCGCGCGCGGCAAACTGTGCGGCGAAATTCACGATGATTCAAACAACTCTAGCGTCTATCATTGGGGCACAAACTTGAAATAGAGTACCTTAGTAGGGTCGGACAATGCTAC